AATGAAGCCAGCTCATTTTCTCACTAACAGTGGTGCGCTTCAAGGGTTTTCAGCAACCTCATGAGTAGTGGTTTATGTGTAAACAAAACTCGTGCTTTGTTCATGTGCGGAGAGAAGATTATATATATATATATCGGCCTAATGTCACAGCACAAAGACATCAGCACGCTGAAACCATTACGAAGCTCAATAATGAAGGCCCTGCGCATAGACACACGCGATGAAGTGAAATTTCGGGTTGAAAGTGACATAATACTCGTTGTTTTTGCCCGCTAGTCAGCTTAATTCCGCGATGCCACGAATGTATCGGTGATCAGCTGTCTGAAGACAGAGTACACTGAAACGGCAGTTTGCGCTTGCGTTTGGAGCTTAGGAGACAACTTGAACCTGTAGAGAATGAGAGTGTAGAGAGCCAAAAAAATTTGCGAAATAGATGATGATGATGGTGATGATGATGATGATGATGATGGTGATAATGATGACGATGATGATGGTGATGATGATTCGGATGATGGTGATTCGGATGGTGATGATGATGCTGATGTCGATGATGATGGTGATGATTATGATGATGATAATGATGATTCTGAGGATGATGATGATGGTGATGATAATGGTCAGTGTGTAGGTGAACATACATTTCCGTTTACGTGCATTTTGACGTACTAGCAGGTAAAAAAGGTGGTGGAGATTCGAGGCCAGTGTTGCTTGGTGAGACCGAATGAGATCGACGGACTAGCTGTGTTAAACATGCTGACAACTACACAACCCCAGTCCTTGGATTTGATAAAGCATTTTCTGTAAATGGCCTGTATTAGAAGTGATCGTAGACGTGTGCGAATTTGACAGTGGTCTTAAAATCAGGACACAGATGAAGGAATTGCCTCCGCATGGGTAGGTGTGGACTAATCGCTCTCCGTCGGTGGTTTGTCAATCTCATTGATTCGTATGTACCATTTGAAGCACAAAATTCGAGCTGTTCCATTCAGTAGTTCAAGGTACATTGGTCGATAATTGAAAGACTGAAACGAAAAGCCAGTGAATTGAAGATAAGCTGTTTGCCAAGCATGACGGGGACAACCAATCATAATTTTACAACCCTCATTTGGTACAGATAGTATGAATACTGATAGCCTAACACGATGATCCATCTGAGTTGATCCCCATCATATATTTTCAGTCGGTGAATAAGGTAAAGATACTGCAGGTTGCTGAAAACCTCAGCCTTATTTACGAGGAATGAGCAGATTGGAGTTCATGGATCCTAACAACATCCGGCTAAATATCAAATCAATAGTTTTCTAATTATCCCCTCGCAAATCGATGGTTGCGTAGAGGAAAAGGCGTTACTGCTCATTGATAATCAAACTGATTGTGACCCAGGTGAATCTTGATCTGTCTGTGGAGATTGATCACTTGGTTGTAAACGCTGCGTCACCAATCGCCGGCGTATCATCAGTTTGAATATTTCCTCAGTAGCCAGTTTGTGTGTATGAGTTAACGACACAATCGGCAAGGCTGCTCATAACTCTTGAGTAGCCCTCTATCGGTTTTACATTATTGGGCAGTTAGCAGGTAGACCCAGTTTCCGAATTGCTATCGATCAAATTTTTTAACAGAACATAGTATTAGACGTAGTTGACTCTTAGCCCTGTCTGAATCTCAAGACAAGCTAAACCGTTTGTGGGCGCTCCAAAAGTCCCCATCAACCTCATGAAAAATGCCGTACGAAGGGAAGTAGTTCCAATGCGGCAAATTGACTTACCTAAAGCGAGACATTCACCTCAACCTCCCGGTGATATGGTCTGAAATTGACCGTTCATCTCCACATGGGCTGACAGGTGGCTAACCTCATACACCCTCTGTCAACTAAATCAAGCAACTCCCAACAATAAGGCCTTGAGCGCCCACGGGAAGAAGTCACTCAAAACGTGACTAAGATATGAGGATTCCATAAATGAAGGATGAGCGGCGTTGTATCCTATCTAAGTGCACTGTTGATCAGTCGATCTTGCCTAGACGGCTTAGGCCTCAACCAAGACATGGGAAGTCATGAGTTCGAAATTCCTAGCGGTTTAGTGAGGTGCGTACTGCCGGTGCCTCCCAATAAGGACAATACAACAACCCTACGTTGTCTCTTGTCCTTTCACCATAGATTCGCTTCACTTACTGGATGAAAAATGCTTCTAAGTAGCGAAATACGCTCATTTGCAAATAAATTTGGTTTTTCAGTAAACTCACCTGGAACCCAGCTGAATCTCTCGTTTATGAACAAAGGATTGACGGAAACTCGGGAAATTCATCTACCTGGTGAGCTCCAATAAGGACGAAACCGGTTGTGGGCTGTCAAAGAGTTTTCAGCAACCTCATGAGTAGTGAATTACGTATATACATGCTTCTTAGTAGGTTGAGTTCCGTTTTTCGACAGAGACTCACCTGGAAACCTGCTAATACTCTCGATTTTAACGTTTGCATGCAACTTAATGTACTGCACCAGGCTGCCTGTGCTGCCTGGAAACATCACAACCGAGAGATTCAGCTGGGTTCCAGGTGAGTCTCTCAAAAAACCAAATTAGTTCGCAAATGAGTGTGTATTCCCTAATTGCGTGCAATTCGGTTTCAAGTAGAACATAAGGTTGACGGAAACCCGGGGACTGCGCCTACCTAATGAGCCCGAACTGGAAGGGCGAAACCGGTCGTGGGCTGTCGACGGATTTTCAGCAACCTTGTAAGTAGTGCATTAAGCCCGAAAAAAGGGCGAAACCGGTCGTGGGCTGTCGACGGATTTTCAGCAACCTTGTAAGTAGTGCATTACAAAAATTGTTTGCATTCTCCTTCCTTTTCGTCACACCGTTGTTTCTGTTAATCATACCTGTCTAATAAGAAATTAATTTGATGGTTTGTACGACGGACAGTGAACTGTTTCCTGATGTTTCGTGCTCATCATCACCGGCTAAAAGTTCGCCACTTTACGTCTGCTGCCGCTGTGGCATGGGGAAGCTGTCCCGGAAGGGATGCGATCTTCAGGAAGGTCACTAATTACTTGGCCGAAGGTCACTCCACCCAGTTCTGCGGCGCTGTTGGAGCATCTTGGCTATCCCTTGCCTGTAACCTTTCTGTTAGTATCATATACATGATTTCGTTCACAAATCTTCCCCTTGTTTTATCGAATTGTCTGATAGCCCTCAAGAACCTTGTCCGTACTCTGCTACCTTTCCATACAGTTTTGTTAGTTCCGTAGATTCTGTACTGTGCTAATCTACTACCCATCGGTCGCCACGCAGAGATTGCCGCGGTAACTGCCATGACTATCACGTATAGCCCTACAAATCAGTACAGTCACGCAGTAACTTGACGCAATCAAACCCGTGGTTTGAATCGCTCCACCCGGTATCTGTTACGGTCCTGTGCCGAGTACAGGTACGCCAGTCTGCGAAAGACTTGAACAAATATTGGTTCTTTTGGTCCAGATCACGTGTCGTTCACAATTTTGTTTATCTATGTGAGTACCGTAAGGGGAGGACCTTATCAAACAATTCTGCCGATGATTACACTTACTTGAAAACAGTATAACGCAACGTGTCCACCCGACTCGTCTAAAACCGTGTTCATGCTCTCGCCACGACTACTCCCTCTGTTCTATTCACACTGGAATGCTTAGTAGCCTATATTGTGTCTCGGCCACCACTCATTACGGTGTCAGCCTGTTTCTTAATACTTCCGCATTCTCCGGATGTACTCCACGACCTGTGCTGAGTGCATGCCGCTCCATCGACGAGTCTGTGACCATTGCCTGATATCCACCTACTTTTATTGGCGACCTTTTCAGCTCGCTTCTGATTTGAAGTTCTCTAGCCGTCTATCCTATTTAGATCCTCATACAGTAGTTCTATTTGACTTCAACTGCGAAGCAATGGCACCAATAAAGGGCTTGAGAATTTCTTTTCTAGAACACTGCTTTATTACTGGCTATGTTTACCATCCACCCCAGATGTCCCTGTCTTGTGTGGGTCTTTATGATAGAAACAACATTCCTCTTAACTGGAACAATCTACCATAGAATACGACAGACAGGTATCTGTGTCTTTTCAAGCCACTAATTTGAATGTGACACTTGGTTAGTTGTGAGGACGTAACATGTATTGTGTGAGCTAGTCAAGAGGTGCATGTTTGACCCAGTCCGGAAGTTCAGATTTCTTAAAATAACCCCGAAATGTCTATTGAGACACTCACATCCCACCAAAATCGCTGTAGGGAAGCCGTCGAGCATCCAGTCCTGAAATGCCAGCTTCCGATCGAACGCTCAAGCAGTCAATCAATACAGCGACGGTCGATGAGTGTTCAGGCACGCCGCAGAAGCACAGCTGACGGTGATGAGTGCTCAGGAAGCATGGTCGATGATGATGGATGTTCACCAAACGCCGAACAGACAAACTAGACAGCCCTTCAGATAACCCAGGGCCTCTTGTAACTTTGCACTCGCCTGTTCGCAATAAAGCTGTTGTGTTCCTTTCTTACACTAAGACATTAGAGCTGGGACTGCAGTCAGTTACAACAGATTCCTTGCGGAACATGAAAGTACTGAACGATTCATGCCTATTTCACTGCCAAATGTGAGATCTACCAGCCCCTTAGACAGGGATAACTACTGTTTTGTTTGTTGTGAAGGCGTCAGCTTTATACGGACCACGGTCACTCAAAGCGTGCTTACATCACATCTACAGCTGTTAACCCATTAGAAGGGAGTGCGGACAATCAATCCTAACCGAAGTGCAAGTGCCTCGGCGGTAGCTTGAAGGCGTCAGCTTTATACGGACCACGGTTACTCAAAGCGTGCTTACATCACACCTACAGCTGTTAACCCATTAGATGGAGTGCGGACAGCCAACCTTAACTGCAGTGCAAGTGCCTCGGCCTCGGCGGTACAAGGATAACTACTGTTTTGTTTGTTGTGAAGGCGTCAGCTTTATACGGACCACGGTTACTCAAAGCGTGCTTACATCACACCTACAGCTGTTAACCCATTAGATGGAGTGCGGACAGCCAACCTTAACTGCAGTGCAAGTGCCTCGGCCTCGGCGGTACAACAGTTGGTACAACACTCGCTTGCTGAGCAAGAGGTCGCACTTTCTTGTTCCGTCGAAGGTCACCCAGCGTTGACCATTAAAGTGCACGGAATGACCACAGCTCACAGAGATCGGATTCCCGGAACTGTTTGTGCTACGAAACCATCCAGTACGGCAGCTGCATGAGGAAAGATGTGTGTTTATCCCCACGAAAGAGTTCGTTTTCTGTAGAAAACCCCGTGAAAATTGAATGTGACCAACTTACTGGTTTATCAGGCACGATAGCCGAGAAGTTGTACGTATAGGGAATCCCTGCAAGTAAAGGGCATTGGGGTGAGGTGGTTGGGCAGATATTTTCCGATTCCATCACAGTCTCCAGACCTGCCGGTGTCTCCAGCGTTAGGCGAGATCCGAGTTTGTCTGCTTTCTCAACTGAGGGGAAATCAAGCAGGGGGAAGTTATCACGATGGATACGTCAAAGAGGCTACAATGGAATCCAAACACACCATTGAGTTCCGTTGAATTACTAATCTCTGGATTAATCAATATGGAGGATGATGGGAACATTGGGGAAAAAATAACGTTTCTAAGCTGTCGATCTGAGTAATCAGTACACCGTTGAGTAGTATAAACCGCACTTCATACGTGTATTGTGAACAAATGCGAAACAGGTGGGAGAGGTGGAAGTAAACTCTTGTGGTTAGAATTCAAAGTAATTGTACGAAGTTTTGCATGACAGGACGGACGCTGTACCTACTGAGCTTCTGTCGCAGAGCACGCTGAAAATTTGCTCGTGAACAGCCACCCCGGTACCTAATGGGTACCCCGCCCAAAGTATTTGGTTGGTGGCCCTTGGAACTTCCACAACTGCCTGGAGAACAAAGTCACCCGTAGGCATAATTTGGTAGAAGCTATCAAAGAATTTGGTCAGTTTTGAAGTAAAACGAATCAGGTCGCACTGTTCTGGGCATGTTTTACGCGTTCCTCATTGCCATCCTTGAAGAAGGCGCTGTTTTTGCCTCGGATTCTTGTGGACATGGGGAGACACGTCATGGTGACTAGTATCAACTTGTGCCCTCTGAAATCTGCACGCTACCCCCCACTTAGTGAGCTCATTTATAGAAGGTTAATATATATATATATATA